TAGAATGTCTATTTCATGTTAGGATCCTTTGTAAGAAACTTACATTACGGATATCTTCATAATCTTCATCTTTTTCTTATACCAGAACATCATGTTAGGAAATCAACTTCAATGCTCATTTGTCACTAAGTTAATACTCCAACGCCTCAGATGCAAATCGACTCTTCCAAATAAAAACTTCAAGTCGAAGGAAAAAGCCCAACAGGAGCGTGCACTGCACCGTCGGGCGCCCGAGTTGGGCTTTTAAACGTTTAGCCCATTTTTTTCGATCGAAAAGACGGAATTTTTACCTCGTTGTGTCCGCTATCCAGATCTTCATCCGATGAACTCATTTATGTTCGTATATCACACCAATAAGTATGATTTGTGATGAAATCGTCTTGAGAGCGATTTTTTTTATAGAGAGAGAGAGAGAGAGAGAGTCTTTGGAAAGCGGAGCGAGAGGGAAGATGCCATGGAGGAGCACGACGGCGAGAGAGCTTGCTCCCGCGGCATCAGCGACGAAGAAGACGCTGAGAACGCCCGGAAAAAGCTCCGCCTCTCCAAAGACCAGTCCGCCACTCTCGAAGAAAGCTTCAAAGAACACAACACACTCAATCCCGTAAGTCAAACACACACACACACACACACACACAAATACACGCACACCAAGTGTTTGATGAAATGTGTTGACAGTAAATAGCAATTTTCAAACGGTAAAAAGCAAATCCCTTAATATTATGCTTGTTAAATCATAATATCTGATGCAAGCTGTGGATATCTATTTGTTATGCTTGTTCTCATTCTTAATGCCTGTTAGTGCGATAATATCATAACGTTATCAACAAATCCGAAGGTGTTGTTTCTTGTCTATTGATACAAGCTGTGGATATCTATTTGTTATGCTTGTTCTCATTCTTTATGCCTGTTAGTGCGATAATGTCATAACGTTATCAACAAATTAGAAGGGTGTTGTTTCTTGTCTATTTGCATTGAGCATCATTTATTTATCTCCTCACTTAATGTATTTTTTTAATTCGATAGGGACTCTATCACAAATGGATGCCTCCACCCCTCAATTGTTTAAGTCTCAATACAGACGCCTTGTGGAAAGCGCTTGCTAAGTCCGGAATCGGAGGGGGTTTGATACGGGACCACGTTGGCGAATTTGAAATCTATTTCTTAAATTTTTTTTTGCTAATGTTATGTAAAATTCGTGTACTATATTTTCTTATTATGTATTAAATTGAATTTTTTTTTTAGTCTTGAAATAATATCCCGTGCGATTGGTTGGAAAAAATACTAGTTATTATAATATTATTAGTTAATATGTTTTTGTATTACGTGATTAATCCCAAATCCTGCCCCCTATCCCTATTTAGTTTCCCTTTTTCTTCTGCCTTTTAATATCGAAACGACACCGTTTCATTCATTGTCGCCGCTTTTCTTCTCCACTCACACGCCTTTGTTTTCTCCCTGCTATATACGACTCATTCTGTTATATACGACGTCGTTATACAAACTGAACTTTGTCCATTTATATATATAAAGTTATAAACCCTAAACCTCCGATTTTGGCGCGATTTTTTTATTAATTAACACTATTGGTATAATTAAATAAAAATTAAAGGGAAACTGAATCAGTGTTGCGCCGCCTCCTCTTCTCATCACAAATGGAAAGAGGAGAAAGCTCCGGTTCAATTTCCTCCGGCGACGATGTCTGGGCTAAACTAGGTAAATATTCTTTAAATTGCTTTGCCTCTTATTTCTCAATTTGGGTTCAAATCTCTTCATTTGTAAAAGTGTGGCGATGTTTTTTTAGTTTTTTTTTTTTTTTTTTTTTTTTTTGCATATATGTAAACAACTGCGAATTTCAATATATTCGGAATTTGGATTTGTTAATTAGCAAAAAAAATAAAAAAGTTTACTGCCATTTTTCTGCAGTGTCTGTGGACTCGAGCTATTCGGATATTGAGTTGAGGTCAACTGAGTTGACAATCTGCTCAGAGATGAAGAGTTCTTCGAGTGAAAAGCGAGAATGGTGCAAGATAACTCGAGAAATCGATCGAAATTCTGCTTTAATGCAAAACACGAGGTTTGCCGGTTTTCCTTCCCCTGTTTCCATAAAATATTTTCTGATTAATTATATCCTTTTATTACGTGTGTGGAGAAATTTCTCACAAGGTATTGGAAATAATTGGTTTTGTAGAGTTTGTTAGGCTTGAATTTGATCGGTGCATCTTCTGTCTATAGATGAAGATACGATGAATTTTGGTGTTTCGTTCACTATTCTGCACTTTATAGTCGATCATATGATTGTTATCGATTTAGGTGTTTATCTTCAATTTGCCGATTCTCTGGGGTGTTGGAACTAAGTTTTTCAATCATGATTTGTTCTTAGATATGACTTTACGGTGCTTTATTTCTTATCCTTTCTACATGCTCTTCTATACCTGGAATCACTTGCTTATATTTCTCAGAAGAATCTACAACTGAAAATTTACGAGTATATTTGATACCATTCATTAGTATCGAATAGAATATGACACCCGTGTTTTATTTTTTTTTTATTTTTTTTCCTAAACTAGTGGTAATTCGATCATTGTCGATGGCATAGCTGTTAAAGAAGGCGATACGACCGTTGTTATATGTGGAAGCGAAATAATTCTTGGTCCTGAGTCCGATGGTAAGAACTCGTATTGCCCAATTTCTTTCTAAGTAACGGAGAATATATAATCCATGTGGTTTATTACCTTGCAGGGTTTAGAAGGTATATGTTTAAAGTAATGCCTACGAAAGAAATTTGCAAGGTAAACATCTGCTGTTATTTGGGTATTACTAAATTTGTTCCGTTTTTTCGGCCAACGGCAAATTTCGATACGTTTTTTTTGTGATAGGTAATTTTAGATCCCGAAATCGCAAAATGCTCTATCTGCTTAAGTGTTTGGCACGACGTGGTCACTGTTTCGCCCTGCCTTCACAATTTCTGGTACACGACTCAAATCTCTCTATCGAGCGTTTGCCATTCGATCTTCTTAATATATACATAACCGTGTCCGTAAAAATACCATTTTACAGCAACGGATGTTTCTCGATGTGGTTGAAGAAATGCCGAGAGAAACGGTCTATCGTTTTATGCCCTCAGTGTAGAGGAATCGTCCAATTTGTTTCAAGAAACCCTTTTTTGCACAGCATCGAAGAGGTACTCTTTTCATGGTCGTTCTTTCTTTTCCGTTTCTTCTGGAAATGCGCATAGTGTTTATACCTGTCAATGGGCAGGATATACTGAAATCCGATTCCTCTCTAAGGCGTACAGACGAAGAAATTGCACACTTAGATTCACATGCATCAATTAAGTTGCCTGATTCTTCTTCGTGCAGCGGTGGGGCCGGCACCTCGTCGTTATATCAGGGTCCCGCTCCACCGCCGGTATTCGAGTCGTTGAGTGAGGAGATGTGTTACCTTAGGCATACTTTAGATCAACAGCGACAATATATCGGGAACATGGTTCTGCTCGTGAGGAGAGTGGCCTCGCATGCAAATGTTGACATCAGCGATATTCCGCCTTTTCAACCTCAGCCTTTTCCCGGCTTTCAAGACGATGACGAGGATGATGACGAGGATGGTGACAATGACGATGATGAGGATGATGACGAGGATGATGACTTGGATGATGATGAGGATGATGACGAGGATGGTGACTTGGATCAGGATACAGATGAGGATGAAGTTGATGATGACTTGGATCGGGATACAGACGTGGATGAAGTTGTGAGTTTTTTATCCGTTTTCTCGTGTTTCATTTTGCAACTTTTTTTTTTTTTTACTCATTGTGTGAACTGTGAAGTTTGTGATTATTCATTTTTTTTCTTTTGTGTGCAGTGGTGATAAGGCCATTTACGCTATTCATTTTTTTTCTTTTGTGTGCAGTGGTGATAAGGCCATTTACGCACGAGCGGTGGTTCCATCCTTTTTCTCTTCTTTTTTTTTTTTTTTTTTTTTTTTTTTGTGTTTCTTTTGTTAATTTAATGGTGAGATGATTGGGAAATGAAATGGATTATTTGGAACGATGGTGTATATTATTTTTCTAATCAAATCTGCAGCGAATACTTGAATAACAGTTAATTGTAACATATTATTGCAGTACTTTTATTTAATATATTTTAATTCTTAACAATTCTTTTATTTATTTTTTGAGTAATGAACTTCATGTTTCTTTTGAGTTTTGAATTTTGAATTTTGAATTTAATTGCTAAAATACATAATTGTGCCTGCTATCTCTTCAAAATCTAATATATACAAACACTGCAATTTCTCCCTCCTCAAGCTCTCCAATTCTCTGTCATCGGGATAAAATAACGAATTTCGCGAAGTTTTCTCTCTTCCATTTCTCGCCAAATTCGTAATTTTATTCCGATGATACTTCATAGATTGCAGTATTTATTTCTATGTGTTGTATCTGTGAAGTTTTCTCTCTTCCATTTCTACTTTTCTTTGTAAAAAAAGGCGAAGTTGCAGCAATAAATACTCCGAGAAAAAATCTTGGAGTTGAGTATATCTTATTAGTATTACGATCAATAGGGTATACAACATATCTCGGCAAAATACCAAAGAATATAAGGTACGTATATAATGAACGAAGATGACGAGATTATAGCACTGAGCCATAATAAAATAGGAGATATATTGGTACATCGGACGGATCGGGATTTAGCCACACGGTTCGAATTTTCCTCTTTTCTTGTTATTCCCAGGGAACTTGTTCTCTCTCGTTAGTGTGTATTTTTTTTTAAGGAATCCGCAGCCAACCATATAGGTGCACTGGGTAAACCTACACTCTCGAATACTAGCTAATAGTGTGTATTTCTATTACAAGAAAGTGTTCACTGGACAAGAAAAAAAGAGTGACTGTTTTATTCATGTTTCATTTTTTTCACAAAGGAAGCACTTATCTTCCTATTTAATATACATATTACATTTCAATAAATCAATCAAGCAAATGCAGTGAACAAAAAACAAGAACAGAAAAATTACCAAGAAACCAAAAAAAAAAAACTACAGTCACAACATTCTCTTTTGCACTAAAAAAAAAGTTTAATGAAAAATCACCAACTGAAGCTGATGGATTCAAAATGCAGATTAGCAGCCAAACCAGATGAGCATATATTTGCCACCTCATGTCTCATCTTCTTCGGACCACAAACGAGTACTCCAACGCTCGATTCTTTTCGCTCAAATAAAAATTCTACAAAAAAAAAAAAAAAGAGTAAGAAACAAATATTAAAATAAAATGTACATGCATGCATGCAGTAATATTTCTTGACCTCTAGATTACTTACTCTTAAGATCCGGTCTTTCGCCATAATGCAAATTAACCGATTGCGAAATCGACTGTTGAGGCAAGCTCTCCAACTCTCTATCGGCATTATAAAATACAGAATTCGGAGATGCTTGAGGTGTGGGCCCCTCCATATTCTGTATTTGTATATTTTTCTCCTTTGCATTTTTATTTTTGTTCATCAAAAAAGCCGAAGTTGCAGCGATAAATACTCCAATGCATAGGAATAGCATGTGGAGCAAAGCTCTAGAGGTAGACGAGTATTTCTTGTTCGTGTTATGATCAATTGGGAAAATATAATATCTCGTCAAAATACCGATGAAAATAAGGTAAATGATGAAGGAAGACGAGATTATAGCACCGAGCCACAAATAGTTGTTTTGACCTAAAACAGGAGATATCGGTGCATCGGATGGGTTGGGCTTGAACCACACGGTACGAGTTTTCGTCTTTTCTTGTTCTTCGTGTGGGGCCCCTTTCTCTCTTGTTACGTATGCCTCGATTTTTAAATCCAAATTCGGAAACTCTGATGGAGCACCGCATAGAGGGAGGATTAAATCGAGCATGGTTAAGTCGTTTGAGTTCTTGAATGAACTAATTAGTATAATTTCGGGTGTTTTGCATTTCAAATTTTCGCTCGTGTGGATTAGTTCGCGGATGATTGATATAAATGGGGTTACACCACTTCCTCCACTAACCATCACCAAAAGCTCGTGCCTAATTAAAAAAAAAGATAAAAAAATGGGATATCGATTATTTTATCTAAAAGTTTAAGCCGGTGAAAAATCGAATATATATATATATATATATGTACCTTAGGAAATCTGTTGAAGTAGGCCCGTAGGGACCTTCGATAGAAACATCGAGACGATCGATCGAAGAAGTGAGCAATTGGTGGAGCTTATTAGACCATTTACCTTCTCCTTTGATAATGACACTTAGGTTATCAGACTCAAGATTGCTGCTTGAGCTAATTGTGAATGGATGCCACTGCATCTTCGAAATGCTCGGGATATTCAAGAAAATCGTGCTTGTCGGAGTGTAACTCAAACCTAGGCACAAACAAATAAACAAACATATATCATCAAGAAATTATTACAAAAAAACAAAAAAAGAAAAAAGAAAGCCACACTTACCTTTGGTCTTTGAGAAGTTGAGTTCGACAACTTGACTAGGGAGAACCCTAGCGGACGAGAGACGAACGTGCGACCTAGATTGCAAGAATCGGAGGTAACGGTCGATAACGAAGAGGAAAAAACCGGGGAGCATCATGGATGCGTAGTTGATTCCGACGTGGAAGATGAAGAAGACGACAAAGGGAATGTACATGTGGTGTGTGTAGAAGAACAACTCGAACATTTTTCTCCTTATTCGGGGGAATGTGGTGGCCCACAGGATTATTCCCGCCACGAAAGATATCTCTCCGGCCAGATTCGATACTCCGGTTTTTGGCCAGTCCAGCATCTGATATTATTTATTGTTGAGCAAAAATTAAATTAATGAAACTCAATCTTGTTGGCGATATTTTAATATGTTCAAGAAGTTGGGATTGATTAATCACAAATTATATCAAACTTTTGGGTTTTTTATTTCATTTTTTTATGGATAGAATTTCTTGATTGTTGATTAATGCTTATAAGATTGGTATTAACTATTATGAATAGCTGAGTAGATGTGGAAATTGGAATGAAATTTTTGAATTCTGTCGATTTTGATCTGATTTTTAAACATTTTTCTTCATTTCGAAAAACACAAATTCGATTTTCTTTTTTTTTTGGGGGGTCGGAATTGTAATATATATGAGACTTCGATTTTTCGATCTAAAAGATTCTTAAAATTCTGAAAATGACACTTATAATATCAATATATATTATTTATGCATTATATATATCATCAGTGAATAAAAAGTAAAAAAAAAAAAAAAAAAAGAAGAAAAATCGATTTCCGCCGATTGTGAACTTAAATTTCTTGATGTTGGAAAAAAAAAATTCCATTTAAAATTTCGATTTTTCTGAAATTTTGTGGAATGAAATTGAAATTTATTTTTCACACCTAAAAAATAAAAAAAAATCCAAAAATTTTAATCCGGATTCTACTCCAAATACAGTTAAACTTCTTTAAATTAATACAGTCGGCGCGGGACTAACAAAATTCAATTAATTTAGCGAAATATTAAATTATCGAATTAATAGTTTAATATGTTTTCACCGAGTTGGGACCGAAAGAAAGTATTATTTAACCGATGTTATAGATGCATTGAGTATTAGTTTATCGAGGTTCAACTGTAAGTCAAAGGATAAAGTTAATTACCTCGGACAATTCATGTACGCTTGCCCAATAGATGATGTAACCAAAGGCATGAGCCGTAAAAAGGGTCATAACAATATGGCCCAACCATATGTGGTATTTAACGCTACCCTCTGACGTAAGCCCGAATAGCGGCAGCACAGACGAGCCACGTGTCACCGGGAAGAACAAAAACGCAAATGCTATGTTTCCGATAAACGCTAACCGGTGCGACGCCGAGTCTAGCTTCACTTCCCATCTGCCATGCATATTATAAATATATTAATAAAAACGAAAACCCTTTGATATATATTTATAGAAATTCGTACTAATTTTTTTTTATTTTTTTTATTGTAAATTATATATTTGTCTATAAATCTTACACTTCTTCACCCTTTTTGGCAGCTGATTTTGGTGTAATGGTAGCAAAGCTGTTACGTAAATATGTTGCAAAACTCCAAATAAGAAGAGCAATAAACATTAGAAAAAATGCAATCTCAATTCGAGACACTATTCCCAATCCTTTTATAATCATGGGCCTCTTCAATATTGCCAGCCTGTGATTATTTCCATTTTTCCTGTTTAATTTATCAAGAAAACAATTTAATTAATTAATTAATTAATTATCCACATAAAAAAAATCCATATATATAATAATAAATTATAAATATATGGTATACCCTTTGGTGTGGTTGTCACTCGATTTTTTTCCTAGATGAACATACGCACACCCTAAGACGGCAATCAGTAGAACCGGAAACGTGAACACCAAGTAAGTTGCACCTGCAAATATCAACATATTTTCGATTTAATTTTAATTTCACACACACATATATATACAGTTCAACCTCTATAAATTAAACAGTCGTGACTAGTAAAGTTCACGACTGTCGAATTAAGAATTTAATACGTTTACTACGAGTCGATCGTGGCCAGAAGAAATTATAATTTAAGCGAAATTATTAATATATCGAGGTTCACTGATCATGAATATACCATGGGTGGTTCCGAAATAAGTGGAAGCAGTTTGTGTTCGAAGCTTAGGCTGCCACTTGAGGCGGTAGGGATTAGTGGGCAACATCACCCACAAGAAGAGGTAGCCGGCGAAGACAATCATCACCACCGCCATTATCGCCGCCCTGATCGTATTGTGATTGCCGCCGCCGCTGCTGCGAACTGATCTTTGTGGATCCATTTTTTTTGTTTCTTGTTCTTTCTTTCTTGAATACAAAGAATGAAGAAAGAATAAATGATATTGAGTTGTACGGTAGAATGTTGAGAGAATGATGCCCTTTATATAGTACTACTATTAATAGGAATTAAAGATAAATCTAGCACAATTAAGAAGCATGAAACACACTACACACACAGTGGAGACTTTAATTAATCACATATATATGATTGGGGTTGACAAATTCATGCAAGTTGACAATATTTCTCAAAGTCAAACACCACATATACATACAAACAAATGTATATACAGAATGTTGTTCACTCCTTTGTGATTGCATTGCATGGTTCATGCAACAAGTTGATGACTTGTATATGCGTGTGCCTGAATGTGTTTGCGCGTGTCAGGGAAAAGTGCACACATGTCAGGAGAATGTTTTTATTGATTACACTGATTATTAATTATTAGGGTAAATTACAAACACCCCCCTGAGGTATGGTCAAATTACAAAAACCCCCCCTCTTGTTGCATAATTACATCTACCCCTCAACTATGATTTTTTCTTACACCTCCACCCTTATGGTGCCAAATTCAACATAATCATCTAGATTCCGTGAAATGTGCTCTAGTTTGTACTCGTTTTGTGTAAAAATACAGTTTTCGATGCACCACAAACTGATATATACAAGCAAAAAATCACATATTATGATCATCTTGCTTCATAATGTAGAGTTTGAATGGGATAAAACAGCTACAAAAGTCATAATATTCCATATAATCTCGAAGATTCCACTAAATTTGAGGAGTTGAGAGGGTGGTTGTAATTATCCAAACAGGATGGGTGTTTTTGTAATTTGACCATACCTAAGGGGGGGTGTTTGTAATTTACCATAATTATTATAAATGCAAATTATCAATTAATTCAGAAAAGTGTCCAATAAAAATGGTACACGTGCCTGTTGTCGTGTGTCCGAACGTGTTTGTCCTTCCAAGAGCGAACTTTGCCAACGTCATATATATTTATTTTATTTTTTATTTTTTAAATCCGGGCTTGGGCTGGGCCGTTCTTTTTTCTTAACGAAGAAAACAAATGGCTTTTTGTCCATTCGGGCCTTTCTGTGTTCATGAATATTGTGAAGTAAGGCCCGATTATTTATCATATCAAAATTATAAATTAAATTAATGATTTTTACTCATCACCTATATTATTTTATAGTTCAAGTTTTATCCTTTATTCACATTATTGAGGAGAAAATGAAGATAACAAATTAAAATATAATTATTATTCAATTAATATCATTTGTAGATGTTTTTTTTTTATATTGCATTTAATTTTGAGATTCGTTTGATAAGATATACAAGTAAATTATTATGAAAGTTCAACAATATTGAAGTTTCGTATGATGTTAACGGGTCTGGAGGGTCAAGACTGTTTAATTTCGGGTATGGATCGGTGTAAGTTTGGGTCTAAGCTAAAACGGGTTGAGACAGATCTTGATTTTATATATTTTTCATGGCTCGGGTACCGGGTTTAGACAAACTCGTCCAATAACCGTCCCCTTGACATCCCTATTCATCTTACTAGTTTTCAATTTCGTCACTCTACTATTATCACATTCATTCTCCTCCGCAATGTTTACTTAATTAGGTACTGTTGGGCGAAAACCTACACGCAAGTGCACGTATCGTACAAGTAGTATAGTGGACTATTAAGTCCGGATATCGAACCCACAGGGAATATTTAATTATCTAATCCTAGACGCTAAATTCTACCAATTGTTATCAAGCCCACCCTACACAGTCGAAAGATGATTAATAAGCTAAATTAAACTAAAGCAATTAAAAAGACAAAAAAACAAGAAAGCAATTAAAACGAAGATTTAATCAATGAAAACAAGCCTAGGATTTTATTCTTCCCACTATGTGATTGTTACTCCCCCAATTCCTCCAATTATGCAAGCAATTAACCCGAATTATTAACCTGAGATGCTAAAATAATCATAACCCGCTTCCGCGTGTATTACAATTCTAATCCTCTAGATTCAATTACTATATTCCTATGCAATTAATTCTAGAACACAACATTAAACACAAATCTCAATAATGGCTACCTAAGAGATTAACTATATTCCTATGTTAATACCACAAAGGCTCTTCTACCACAGTTCTAATTATTAACCCGATCTTCCGATTCATGCGATTAACAATAACATAAAAGCACATAAGGTGATCAAGTTCATGCACTTAATAAAACAAGTAGAAGAAATAATCCGGAATTAAAACTTGCATAAAATCATAGAATTGGGTTCATAAATCCCACATAGGGTTCCAAATAAAATCCTCGAAATAAGAATTTTAGCTACTCATGATTAAAGGAAAAACACAAATAAAATAAGTCATAAACGATAAATCTATGCTTAGAGTCTTCGAATTCTTCGTTATTGCTTTGTTGCTCTCCAAATTGCGTAAAAAGAAGATCCCTAATTGTGTGCTTGGATTGGTCTTATATAGGGTGAAGAACTTAGGGAAGAAGGCAGTTTCCTTGTGCGATTAAAATCCCTTTACTGCGCAACTTCGGGTTATAGGACGGGGGTCCCATAATTTGCACAAAAACTGGGACGGGGGTCCGAGCCTTGTTTCTTCAGAATTTTGATATTTTCACTTTTGACCCTTATTTTTGCCAAAATTACAGTTTTGACCCCATACTTTTCCAATTCTTCAATTTGTACCTAAAATACAATAAATCAACTTTTTAAGCACCAATTATCATTAGAACACACCAAAAGCCCAAATAAAAAGGTACGATAAAGTGTAAAAATATACACTTAACACACCCCCAAACTTGAACTTTTGCTTGTCCTCAAGCAAATAACTCAACTATTACATCTCATCACATAGATCAATGATCAACTTCACGTTTTCAGAACTTGTAATTATAATGACAATTCTTAGGCATTCGCAAGCTCAAAATTCAACAACACTTAGTCACTCACCATTATGGGATTCTTAGACATGATTATCTGGGACATATAGAGAAGAGGATTATTAGAGATTCGCGTTAAATGATTGTTACAATTAAATGTTTGGACTTATGTTATTTAATTGTTCTCCCACTAATTTTATCGAGTTCCACTTCCCTCTAGTAAACGAGAAAACTGATTTTTCTTAATGGGCTTTAAGTCCAATAGACAAATATAACCCGTAGTTAATCTAGCCCGATTATATTTGCCCAAAGGTAGATCACAATCAATCATATCCACAATATGACCCTAAATTAATTTTCCTCACACTTGATAATGACCTAAGTTAATCTCGCGAATATCAAAATCGTCGTGTGTCAAGTCTAACCTACCAATCAAAGATGCTCATAGAACTTGATTATGCCAAACTAATGCAGTCCCTAGTTAATCTAGCCGACCACGTTAATCCAACATAACCCTTTTCTATGGCTACCTTCATCGTTATGTCAATTGAATTACAGCTTACTCTACCATAGCACTCCCCGCTAACACGGCTTACTGCACTACAACAAAGGGCTACACATAATCCAACCGTTGGCAGAAGGAAAGAAATAACTCAACAGATTGGGTTTTTCTTTATAGCTTGAAATGATTCTCAATTAGATTAAGAATGAGGGGTTTTATTAAAAGTTTTATCTCATCAGAAGGTTCGGATTGGTCTATGTGATTCCTACATCTATGTTCTCTAAAGGTATATGGAAACGCATATTGTCCTAAGAGAAACATACGACCTAACTATATAATTAATTACATTAATTAATTATCGGGTTTTTCAAAATAATTATAGAACCTCAACTAGCATAAATCATTCATATAATGTTGAGGTACTACTAATTAAGTTCAACTTATAATCAATATTATATTTGTGTTCTATTAATTGAAATCAATTTAACAATTTAAATCAATTTGATTAATCTAACACCTATTTACTAAAATAGATGATTGTCGATCCAATTATCTAATTGGGATTAATTGAAAATAATTTTCCAAAAATTAAAATCAATTTGTTTTAAGTTTAAATTTAGAAATCTGAAATAATATTTTTTTTTTTTTTTTTCAGTGAACCGGTTCGGCCCAACCGGTCTGACCGGTTCGGACCGAAGGGGTCCGGTTCTGTCCGGTCTAGCTGACCCAAATCAGTGGGCCGGGTCAGTCGGACCGGGAACCGGTCTGACCGACCCGAATCCACGTGGATTCGGTCAACTAAATCGCACACAACCATCGAACCGGCCGGTCCGACCGGTTCGATCCGAATAATTAAAAACCGACGTTTTAAAAATAATTTCAGATCCAGTTTTCCAATTTTAAACAATTTTAAAGCTGGAAAAATTCTAAACAATATTTCAAAAATATTTTAAACTTACGAAAACTCCCAATTACATAATACAACAATCACTACTTTAATAAATCGAACATGCATAAAATCATAGCATATTATACAACGCAATTAATTACGCAACGAGCTCTGATACCACTGTTGGGTTTCGGGCATGCATACGCAGCGGAAAACAAAAATTTAATGTGATTTAAACGACTTTAAAACACACAAGTACATGCCCGACAAATTAAATCAATTAATTGCATACATTTGCGCTTCCAGCGAAATTAAAAACAACATACATGCTAAATAATTTAACCGAATTTAAATCAATTAACATGCTCGCGTTTAAACCAATTAACATGCTTGCAAAGATTAAAACGATTACACATAATCACATAAAATCATACGATAGCAAACATGAATTCATAGTTTAAACATAAACGAATCGAAACTAGGGTTTCGTATATTTACCTCTTGAAGCGTGAGGTAGGAGCGTTTAGCAAGTCGAGATTGCTACGGAAACCAATCCGTACAATCGGGGCAGCAGCGGTGCAGCGGCAGCAGCAGCAAATCGGCCACGGCGGCGCGTGAGGTTCACGCGCGGTCTTCCGGGGCGGCGCGTGGGGCAGCGTGCGGCTTCGGCTCGTGCGCTGCTCTTCGATTCCTCGATCTTCGATCTTCCTCCTCT